CAATATGTCATCAAAGAAATTAACATCTCAAAAGTAAGTATATTTTTAGTTTGGTTACACAGGTAACAGCTTGGTTGCAATAGAGCTCATTGCTAAAGAATTTTTTTAAAAAGTATAATGTAAAATGAAAGACTGCTATAATTCCTGCTGTCTTTAATCCATTAATTTCAGAATGCACATAGTCTGTATGTTCCTTCAGATAGTGTCTGTGATGTGTGGTTGTGTTTGTGTGTGTAGAAAAATATATCTGCTGTTTTATAACTTAATCTAATCTGGACATTGTAAAATGTGTTTAGAGATTTGAATTCATTTTTTTATTGTTGGGGATTCATTTTAATTCATTCTTTTTAACTTACTATATTTTGTTGATTGGACTGTATTTGGTACCATTATTTTTTTTAACCACTCTGTCTTCTTTCTTTTTTTCTTTTTCTTTTTTTTGAGCTAGGATCTTGCTCTGCTGCCTGGGCTAGATAGAATGCAGTGGCATGATCATAGCTCACTGCAGCCTCAAACTCCTGGGCTCAAGCAATCCTCCTGCCTCAGCCTCCTGAGTAGCTGGAACTACAGGCACTGACCACTACACCTGGCTAATTTTTCTATTTTTTGTAGAGATGGAGTCTCATTCTCTCAGGCTGGTCTCTAAACTCCATAGCTCAAGAAGTTCTCTCACATGGCCTCCCAAGGTGCTAGGATTAAAAGTGTGAACCACTATACCTGGCCTAACTTCTCTCTTATTGATGGAATTTTGGGTTATTAATGCTTTATTTTACTATTTTCTTTTTTCCTCCCATTTAAGATGTCCAGTAAAGAAAGAGAAGAATCAAGTAGAGAAGTTGCAGTGTTGGCAAACATGAAGCATCCAAATATTGTCCAGTATAGAGAATCATTTGAAGGTCAGATAAAGTTTGCAAGAGAATTCAAAAGAAGTCCTCAGACATTAATAACTTTGGAAATTTTCTTTATAAGTAATCTTTTTGTGAATGCATTCTCAAGAAAAATAGAATACCATTTTGCTTATATACATGTGCATGTGACTACCAACCTTGATTCTAGGATAATACTCAGACCGCACTGTCCCTATCTAAACACTGGCTGAGGCAGGAGACTCACTTGAGCCCAGGAGTTGGAGGTTGCTGTGAGCTGTGATGCCACGGCACTCTCCCCAGGGGGACAGCTTGAAGCCCTGTCTCAAAAAAAAAAAAAAAAAAAAAAATAGAAATTATCCTACTCATTTACGTGATACTCTGTACTTTATACATCATTATTGTAATATTGAGGTATATTCAAAGTTTTCAGTTCTTAAAATATTATAGCTAAAATTGCTGTTTGGGATCTATATATATTACATTTGATAATTGAGGAACATAAAACAAAGCTTCTCTAAGGGCAGGTCAGGGTGGTTAATTGAAGTCCTACCCAAGAACATTCTCATTATAATAAATTCCTATAAGTTATAAAACAGAAAGAAATCTAGATTGAACGTAGAACATAGTTAAAATGACCCTTCCAGGGACATATCACGTAGCAGTTTCAGTGTCTGAATTAAAGCTATGGTAACTCGGGCGTCACCTATGTAGCTCAAGTGAGTAGAGCGCTGGCCCCATATACCAAGAGTGGTGGGTTTGAACCCGGCCCTGGCCAAACTGCAACAAAACGTAGCTGGGTGTTAATGGTGGGTAGTCCCAGCTACTCAAGAGGCTGAGAGGCAAGAGAATCACCTAAGCCTAACAGCTGGAGGTTGCTGTGAGCTGTGATGCTACAGCATTCTACTGAGGGTGACCAAGTAAAACTCTGTCTCTTAAAAAAAAAAAAGGAAAAGGCTAAGGTAACTTTGTTCCCAGATGAACTCAGTATCTACAAAAGTAGAACTTAATATGGTTCAATTAGCACTTTGTATTATGGCAATTTTAGCTATAGTATTTTAAGAACTTAAGAAAACTTTCAATATATTGAAAGTATTCTTATAGTGAAGTATAAAAGAGCATACTAATGAATAGGATACTTTTTAAAGATATTTTTTATGATGGCAATGAAGTAAAGATTTACTTTCTTTCTTTTTTTTTTTTTT